AGCGACAACCATAATTTGAACTCTTCCCGGGCAGGCGGGAATTAACGTCATCCTCACTCAGAATAAAGGGCGGGCCGTGGAGCAACAGCCAGTCAGCGACGAGGAGGCGGCCGCAGGAACTGTCCAATCAGGAGACCGAGGAGGGCGGGACTTCCGGCGCTGGCTTCCGTTAAAGAGCACGTTTCCCGGCGTCCCTCAGCGCCTTGGACAGCCGTCAGCGACTCCCGCCGGCCGCGGGCTGCGCAGAAGGACTCCGGGGCGCCCGCGATGGTGAGGCGGGGCCGGGGCCGGGGCCGGGAGGGCAGGCCGGGCTGGGGGCGGGCGGCTCCGAGCTGGGCGGGGCGGGTACCCGCCTCCCCTCAGACCCTGCGGGGCGGCGCGGGCTGCGTTCCCGGAGGCGGCGGCCCCGAGCGGCCGTCTCGTCCCTGTCAGGCCTTCAGCCAGGACGCGGCTGGCGTCCTGAGAGCGCGCCGTGCTGCGCGCCGCGACCCGACTGAGCTCCCGCGCGGCCCACCCGCCTCGGCCTCCCGCCTCGGCCTCCCCGGCGCCGGGCTCCCCAACGGGAAGCGGAGCTCCCGCCGCGGCCTGGGTGACGTCGTGGTCTCTAAGGCCGAAGAGCGAATTTGAGGGACGGGCGGAGGTTGAGGGAAACACTGTATTGCAGAGGAAAGCTTCTGTCGGAGAGGGACGGACGGGGGCCCGCGCGGCTTGCCCGGGAAGCTCTTTTAGGTCACTTCGTAGGGCACGGCCATGCGGGGCTGAGGTAGAGACAGAGGGGTCTCGCTTAGGCGGATGCGGGGTGGGAAACACTACGGACAGCAAATGGGATTACGAGCACCGTTGCTCAGGTAAAATGGATTAGGCCCGAGACCAAGTGGGGTAGCGAGTCCCGTAGTAAGCGGGCAAGAAGGTGAAACAGGACCTAATGGCGTGGCCTTCAGACAGTGACACCTCCTGAGTGATGATCAATCCTGGATGCCGGTCTGTAGCTTTGATTTAAGGCGGGGGCCTCCATCCTTCCCACAGTTGTGAGGCGCCTGGCTGTTGTCATTTCCTTCGAGGGCCTGATCCTGTGTGACTGCCTGCAATTTTCTCTCTAACTCAGACTGCCTGCAACAAAAACCGTTTTCTTATGGTGTAAGGTTTAAAGGAAGCTAGGACGTTAGAGGAAAAGTTTGTTCTGTACTCTTAAGTTTGTGGAAACTGGGGCTCTTGGTAAGCAGCAGCTGCAGCTTCTTGTAACAGGGAGGGCTGCGACCCCATTTCCATGGGAAGCTCCATCTCTCCATCTCTCCTGCTGTCTGTAGTTCCTACCTCTTGTTATGTTAACTCTTGATAGCGTCTTATTACTCAACTGGACCTTAGGCCCCTGTGCATGGCCAGCTGCATTAATCAAAAGGTACAAAGCCAAACTTTAAAATCACAGTATTTTTAAAAAATACAAAGTAGCTAAAAGCATTAGAAATGATAAAAAAAAAGTTCCATTAAACAACGTAATAAGGCCGGGGAGATGGCTTACTAGAATAAATGCTTGCCTGACAAGCACAAGGGCTTGAGTTCAATGCCCGGTTCTGCCAAAAAATAAATAAATAAACAACGAAATAAGTGAAAGGTCAAAAGTCGAGGCAGCTGAACCCAACCAGACATATGACATGAGTCAAACAGGATTATAGGAAGCTCATGAGGAGGTGGAAGTGGTCTCGCCGACCTAGACAGCCCCGAACAAAGGGGCGGCAGGAGACTATGGGAGGGTGTTGGGCTGGAACAGCCAGGACACAGGTAGACATTTTTCTTCCATGGGGTTGAATTTTGCTTAGGTCAGAGTCAGGTGGACCTGTTCTTATGTGTAGGGCTTGGCTCTGTGTGAGGCCAAGAGGGAGAGGGTTTGGGTGCATTGTTCCTGGGAAGCTCTGAGACCTGACTGTCATCCCAGACTATTTGATAGAAAAGGGGCGAATAAGGGTTGGTGAGATGGCTCAGTGGTCTAAAGCACCTACTTAGAACAAGCTTAGCAAAGCACAGGGACCGTGGTTCAATCCCCCAGCACCACATGCCAGCCAGCCCCGCCCCCTGGAGGGCTGAGCTGGCCACACACACACACACAAATAAATATTTTTTTTAAAAAAAAGAAAAGGCGAATAAATCATCTGGCTACTCCTGTTGAATGAAGACATCGTGGGGCTGAGATCATAGTGAGGAGTTGTCATTGGAGAGGAAGCTTTGTAGGGGAGTGAAGTTGGCATTAACAAGTTTGCTTATCTGTTTGTGATTGGTTGGTGAGGGGACCCTTTTGAGACTGGACAGCTGGCCCAGGCTTGTCTTCCCAGGAGCTTTGTGGCTGGCCGTTGGCATGCTCAGAATGACGAAGTGTGGGCCAGACCAAGGGGGCTTGTTGGATGGAGGGGTGAGCCCTTTAGGAAGACTCGGTCTCCAGGCTGAGCCTATACGGGAGCTGAGCCGCTGTCACTCAAGTATAGGGAGGCGTTGGTCTGCCTATTGTCTGAGGAGAAGCCAGTTAAGGTCCTAAGCTGGCATAATGGACTCCGTTCTGTAAGAAGCTTTGTAACTTCCATTTTGTAAAACCTTGATGTCTTTTGTAAACTCCCACCCATGCCTAATGGCAAAATGAGACTGCTTATGGAGATAAGAGTTTCCTAGCACATGAAGAACTGGGTTAAACTTTCACCAGATGTCCCTTCTGAGTACTGGAACAAAAATGACACCTAAGCCAAATAAGGACATATTCCTGTAGAGTTTGCAAAATGTTACCTGTCTATGGGAACAAAGAGTTAACGCTAGGTCTTGACTAACTCTGTAAAACTCCCCCCTCCTCCCCTGTGGCATGCAGCAACACAATGGACCCCAAAACCAAAGGAACAATTTGACAACACTCCCTCAGAGAAACTGCGGAGAATGAAACAAAGCACCACCTTTAACATGAAAAAACCTCAGGGTTGGGGGGAGCAGAGGGGATTCTTGCAAGGTTTAGTCATTGCCCTTTGTTCCCTTACCTAGGAAGGACATCTGGTAACAGTTTAGCCCACTCTTCAGAATGCTGAGGAACACTTCCTAATTTGGGCAGGCAGTATGTTTTATGGTCTGGCATGGACAGGGGGTCTACAGAAGAGATCAAGGCTTTACAGAATGGGAGATATAGAACGTGTTACAAAATGGAATTGGTTAAGCCAGTTTATAACACCCCCTACTTTTGTGGTTCTCTGCTTTAAAAACGGCCTTGCTTCAGCTCGGGGCTTCACTTTTGTCAGTTTCTGAGGAGAGTGTTGCCGCTGAGCTCAGCTAATAAAGTACTCCAAATTTCTTCCTTTGGTTTCGGTGTCTATGATTTTACAGCTTGTCACAGTTAACAAGAACAGCAGCAAGTAGTTGGCAGGCAGGTTGGGAGATGGATCTAGAGGTAGGTAGGTAGGAGCGGGGGTCTTAGTAGGGCCAGCAAAGGGAAGGGCCCTAAGGTTTTAGAAAAAAAAGATGTGGAGTTCAGTTAGGGTGTCGTGCCCCAATAGGGGTGTAGGACAGGAGGGCATCATGAGCAAGGAGTGTGTGAAGAGTTTTGATCCTACTGAGCAGGGTGTGGGTCCCATAAAGGGTAGTCCTTGCGGTTGGCCTTCCACTCTGATCACAGTGAAGTTTGAGGGAATGCTGGCTCTGTGTATGAGAAGAGGCCCCCGAGCCTAAAACAAATGAACCAGGTTCCCCTGCCACCTAGACAGCAGACCTAGGCTCCCTGAGGTAAGCTAGGCTTCTGCGGGGGCTGGAGGCCCGGGACCCTTCAGCCTTCATCCTCCCGCAAGGCCCAGTAGGTCCATGAGCCCGCTTATCTGGGACTTAACTTGGGACATATGTACCCCATTTTGTAAGGAGGGACAGTCAACCTTCCAGTGGCCCTGGGTTAGTGCAGGGTCCACGAGGGACAGTCAACCTTCCAGTGGCCCTGGATTAGTGCAGGGTCCACAAAGGATTTGCTGTTAGGCCTGGAGGTCTTTCTATTGGGGTGGTAGAGGCTTCTAAGGAGCTGGTACTTTTTTGTAGCAGCCAGTTTATTTTTGGCCTCCTGTGCTTCTCTCCCACTGTAGACCTTGAAGGCCAGGTGTAGGAGCTCTCATTGGGGGGTGTTTCACCCATCTTCAAGTCGTTTGAGTTTTTTTTGGGTGAGGGGGAACAAGGGAGCTATCTCCCAGGCCCCTCATTTGAGTTTTTTTTTTTTTTTTTTTCAAAGTTTTATTGACAAACAGATAGCAATGAGACAGTTTCAAATCATATCGAAAGGACAGTTTCAACAAATAATACACTGCATATATTCTTCTTAGTGGTTAATTGCTGTACAAGATGCGGACTTGTGATCCCATTTACAAACACCATTAGAACAAATCATTCTATTCATTAAGAGAATGCAACTATATATCTATCCCAACCTCTTTGAATACACTGATACAAAATGGACATTCATCGGTATACCCCATTTTTCTAAGTTCCGTTATTGAATATTATAGGTGTGTAAACTCAGCAAAATATTCTAAAAGAGTCCAGTAGCCCATAATAGCATTGGGTCTTATATTTAACTGGCAATGTCAGAAATTATTGACCTGAGTCCCTCATTTGAGTTTTTATATCTGGAGGCAACTGGGAAATGAATGGTTGTTTAGAACCAACTCCCCCTAATGTCTAGCTGGGTCCAGCCGGTGGAGGGGGTGAGGGCCTTCAGGCGTGCTGAGAAGCTGGCTGGGTTTTCATTTGGAGCCTGGGTAATTTCTCACAGCTTGCTCCAATTGATGGCCTCTCTAAGAGCCTTTTTTAGCCCTGAAATCAGACAGATGAGCATTTGGTCCTCGGGTGTGAGCACCTCGCCCTCCTGACTGATAGTTTCAATTAGGGTCCTGCCTAGGGACTGTCCGGGCTCTGGGGGGAGGGCGGCTCCATGCGGTGGCCATCGTCCACATGTGGCTCTGCAGCCAGACAGCCGGATTCCTTTTCCTGCAGGGTCAGGGTGGAGGAGAGGATGGCGTAGATGTCATTCCAAGTTAGCTGGTACACTGAGTAAGATACTGAAATTCTCTTGTGGACGTGGGGTCTGCTGTGGAGAGCAGCTCAGGTTTTCTCAATCTGGGAAATGTCTGAAAGGACCAGGCACGCACCTGTAATCCCGGCACTTAGGAGGCTGAAAACGGGAGAATCGCTATGCGTCCCATCTCCTAGTGACCCCGATCTGCCCTGGAGACCCTGTCCTAAGTACATGATAATAATTATAAGTATACAATTCTGTGTACTCTCCTTGTCCTGTGCCATGACAGGCCACTGAAGGTAGACGTGAGAAGCTGGTGCCTCACACACCTTCAGATGCCCACCTGCATCCTTTTTCTCTTTTTTTTTTCCTTGGTACTGAGGATCAAACTCGACCTTGCACTTGCCAGGCGGGCATTTATGTTGCTGAGCTATCCTCCCGGCGCTGTGTGTCCTTTATCACTGCCTCACCTTGGTAATTTAACATGAGCCATGCATTAAGCTTCAATAAGCTCCAGCTGTATGGGAGTTGGACCTTTTTTAAAAATTTTATTTATTTATGTGTGTGTGTGTGTGGCCAGCTCAGCCCTCCAGGGGGCGGGGCTGGCTGGCATGTGGTGCTGGGGGTTTGAACTGCGGTCCCTGTGCTTTGCTAAGCTTGTTCTAAGTAGGTGCTTTAGACCAC